AAATGGCACCTCTGGACCGTTCACAGGGACGGGGGAGGTGGTTTGGTGGAAATAATGTTTATTGAAAAATAATTTTTAATAATAAAGGAGGTTTGGTGGAAATAATGTTTATTGAAAAATAATTTTATTGATTTACGGTTTCGCGTGTTTTTCGACGAAAGCAGGATTTAGCTGGGTTTTATGATTACGTCCATCGGCATTACGTAATGGCACGCCAATGAGTGCACTCGAACGAATAATGAATAAATATCGAGTGTTGCAGCCGCGGTCGGCGGTCGCCCCCGTAATTCATGAAATCACGAACGTTTATCCTTAACAAAATGAAACGCTTTAACGAGCCGTTGCATAGCGATTGGCTCATCTCGCGAAAAGTCCTCGCGTCGTATAGATTTTGCGAATCGAACGTCCTACCGGTGATGCACTTTGGCAAACGGCGATTTTCCATCTCTCCAATGATTTCGAGTGCATATCGGGCTACGTGAACTTTTTCGAATTTACTGTAGCGACGTACAGGGTAGTCAATGTAAAACAGGTGATTGATGAAATTTCTAAAAAGGTCGATTTCTTTTTTTTTTTTTTTTTTTTTTTTTTTTAATTTTTTCAAGTATTACCTGAAGATCTTTTTTTTTTTTTTTTTTTTTTTTTTTTTTTTTTTTTTTTTTTGAAATCTCGTCTCTCCGCGACACGTTTCTTGTGATCGATACTCTTTTAACGTCTAATTTAGACTTTTTCCATTAGCCATTAGAAAATTCAAAACGCGCCTAAGTTCGCGGGCGGGGGAGGGGGAAGGGGGGTTCGAACGATCTGCAACATTTCCGGGCATAATTTATTATGAACAAGATGGACGGGGCCGGCCTAGTGTATTGATGAAGGTCGAGCAGCCCCTCCTGAAGCGAACTGCCAAAAGAAGATAAAAAATGTAATTTATCTAATGGAACCCGTCCCCATTACTTTACGTCATAACCGGCCGTGATAAATACACCGAGAATCGTAATGCTTTCCTTGGGCCTCCAACTATACTATCAAACAATAACTGCTTGGGAGTATTTCAAAATGGCCAATCCCGTAGCGTTACCTCTTTCCCCCCCCCTCTCTCTTGCTCTCTCAGTTTCCACGAAATCACCAGAGAGTCTCTCTCCAATTTCAACTTCCGCATGACACCCCCCTCCCACTCATTTTTCTACTTCGAATTACTTTCTAAATTCCAATTCAGTCGGTTTACTTTTTTTTTTCCCCCCCTCATTCAACCGTCGCAGCGAAGTCGCCAAACTAATTTGCATCGTCGAGGAATTTTGGAAAACAGGAACCCTCCCGGTGGATTCGTTTTAATATCTATATCTATACTTCAAATTACATTCCGCCCCGTAATTCGAAATCTCTAGGATTCCTAACTCCACGCGCACACAAATCCTTGCGGGCCCCGTTTTCCCGTTACGCTTCGCAATACTCACGACTTACGACTCCTTATTACGCTCTTCGGTGTGTTTTTTTTTTTTCCATATTTTCACGTTCCATGTATTTTATTCTTTTTTTTTTTTTTTTTTCCTTTGACATTCCTATATCTTCCCCGTGTGTCACCGCTTGTTCGGTATTTGATATAAAATATTGAAACTGCTGCGCATGCGCAGGAAGCGAATGATCATCCAGCCAGGAAATAAAGTCTGGGAGCTCGAGCGAGAAGATTCGATTTTTTTTCCAGGCCTCATCTCGGTTGCAACGTAGGACTCTCCTTGGGTCAATTTGATTGCTAGTTAATTACGGTTGCCCCAAGTGAAACTGGACACTAGCCAAAAATGTAATAAATCAGTTGACCAACGTAGCACCAGGCTTTACTCGACTGTGACAGATGCCGGCAATTGTAAGCCAAATTCGACCTGCTCGAAGGTTTTGATACCTTGGTACATAGCGAATTGGGATAGAGATAAGTTTTTCGAGGTTAATTAAAAATTTAACTTTCTTATAGCTTTCGTACTAGTCCTTTTTAAGTTTGTCAGGGACCTTTACGTTACGGCTGGAATCGACGTAAGCGCTTTGCTTCTCGAATCCTCCTATACAGACGTCATTGAGAAGCCACGTGGAAAAGGGGAGAGAGACCCTCCTATACGTATGGCAGATGCAAATGACATTGCATGCATTGCAAAGTTTCGCGTGAAGGTAAAACTTTTTGAAACATGGAGACAGCCGGGTTCCTCGCGTTTTCTCCGGGCGTCCGCATTTGGGCCAATTGAGGTAATTGAACTAAGCCCCCGATGCATACGGTACGTGTAATAAAGTTGAAATATCTTGGCTGAACGCGTGTCCCAAACTTATGGAGAATTTTACTTTTATTATAGACACAAAAAAAAAAGTAAATTTCTCTGTAGTAAAATTGTAAGAAATATATATATATATATATATATATATATAAATATATATATATATATATATATAAAACTATGTACCGTAAAGGTACATGCCGGGTGGTTTTCCAAATAACGTCGGGTTAACCACCAGAAATACGTTCTCGCTTTGGTTTGCTGGTTAGCTGACCTCATCCTCCCTCTTTATTTACGACATCCAGAAATTCCCCTGGGAGCCCGACGGCTCCTGTCACGTGGCTCGTTCGAGGAGCGACTGCAAAAGTGACTTCCAGGTGTGAAACGACTGTGCAAATAAATGAATGTAAAATTGCGATTGATCGTAAAAGGTAAGAAAAAGAGTCCCGAGCACTGGATCGTTTAGGCGAGTCGATCGGATCGAAAGTTTATCACGGGTTCGGTAACTCGAGCATGGTTTCCTTTGAAGCCAGAGGTCTCCCAGGAGTCGCCACTTCCGTTTCCTTCTTCGTTCTTAGTTCACGTGTTTACAAATGCTGCTTGCGCTAAGTTTGTGCCGCTGCAATCTCCAAAATAGACGCAGCCGATTATTTTACCGTAGTTCTCGCTCTGCTCGATCACTATACTTTAAGATTATTCTATTTCACGAGCATCTTGAGACGAGAGAGGAGGTTGGCGAAAATTTATTAATTCTTTGATAAGCAATCTTTGCTCGGTTTATGTTTTCATGGGAATTCCTATTAATATTTTGACGCGTTTAATTTTTCATACTTCACATCCGGTATTTCTGAGACTGTCGATGTCTTTGACTTTACACTTGGACTTACTGTTACAAGACCCGCTCGTTGTACTGTGGTAGGAACGTCATTAAGCGGAGAAGAAGAACGAATTAATGAAGTAAAAGATACGAGAGTGGGTCCCCCGTCTGACGCTGCTCCCAGCCACGTACATTGTGCAAGATGCGTTTAACGGCTGGACCATTGGTCTGGGTCTAGTCTGAGAAAGTTTAATATGCGCGTAGACATTTTTTTTTTTCAATTTTAGTTAATTCTACTTTCTATACTTTTTTTTTGGTTTGCTTTCTTTTTTTTTTTGCGCGCAAATCCTTTTTTTTTGCTACTCACCGAAGAAGATGGCACGTCAAATTTTAAGCCGTCGTCGGAAAAGTTTGTTCGCTTCTGGCGGGCGGGCTATTCGAATTGGCTCTGCGGTGGGAAGCTTTGGTAGGGAGAAAAAAATGTATAAAAGAGGACAGTTTGATTAATGATATTTTAACGGAGCGTTCGAGTGTCCAAAATGTGGGAAGGACTGATCGAGTCGGGAATCGTTTTGGACAGCGCGAGGCAATTTCAAGGACGTGTCACGCGATGCGAATTAAATCGTCGAATTATTTTTTCGTGCTCGAACGGACTGTGGATAATTACGATATGCCGGGTTAAATACGTGCGTTCGTAAATATGATAAAGTTTTACAGGAGACAAGGGATTTTCTGTTAAATGAGTAACAAGGGTTATGGGGAGTACAAGGATGTCGGTAAAGAGAGAGAGAGAGAGAGGGAGGGAACGGTATATAAGACTAAAGGAGATTATAGGAATGCTCATAAATCATCCTGAAGGTTATCATTGGTAAAGCTTTTGTATTCAAGATGGCGGCGTCTCGGTGATGTCGCTCCGCCGGATAAATAAAATTAAGCTGCAAGTATTACGGTGGTATGGTAGTCGCTATCTGAAACAGACGCCCAGGCAGGAGTATTTTTGGGCAGTTCTTGCGGGCTCCGAATGCTTGAATGCCTCGCTGGCTGAATGGCTAAATGGTCGAATGCTTGAATTTCAGTTGCACATGGCCCCCGTGGCAGACAGTAATTCCCTTAACCCACGCTACTGGTATGATGAACCCAACTGCGATGCACAAACAAGGTTCGAGGTTTTCTTTTTTTTTTTTAACGTTGCTCTCGAGTGGCCTCTTTCCAAATCAACTTAATTAGGCTAATGGATCGAGTCCGTGACATATATGCGGTAGTGTCGAACAAATTTTTTTTTTTACCTTCGTATCAGAATTCCCCAAGTACAATCATCGTGGCAGCGCAATCTGTTGAATGGTAGGGGTGAATTTTGTTTTTTGGCAAAACTTTCAATAGGTGCCAGAACGCGCGTAATCAAACTTTTGAATCATTGAAAATTTCAGTAGCGTCGAGAGGTGGGTGAGAGTCGAGAAAGAAAAGCGGCGGAAAGAGGAGAAGAAAAAATTACGGCATTACCAGGTAAAGTAGTGTTTTACCAACCTTACGAGTTTCACGTGGAAATTCCATAGAGCTTTGTAGATGGGGAATGATGATCCGCACTGAGGAGGCCAGCGCCCTCTTCACAGAAGGGTGCTTTCTGGCTGCTGACTTTTATCTACCCTCGGAGTCGTTCCGAAAGCTGAGAAGAAACTGTCAGTTCAGCATAAGCATGGCTCTGGGTGTGGATTGGCAGAGGGTGGCAGTCAAGAGTCCGTAGTGTCAGATACGTCGAAGTGGCTTATAAGTGCATCTCCTTCGGAGCGTCCAATTTTCAAAAGTTTAAATCTCAAATGAAAAGCACAAATTGAACCGCAGATTCACGATTGGCTGAGTGCTCGGCGAGTGGCTGAGCGGCGTGGGGTTCGAGCGTGCGTGCGCGACGCCACGCGTCGGTTGCTTTTCAAACGTTCAGTCGCGCGCCGACCGTTCGCTCGTGTGCACGCGTTCGTTAGACCTTACCGGCTCTGCCATTGGCTGCTACTGTTTCTTCTTGTGTAGTGATGCCGTGATTAATCTTTACTTTTACTTTCATTCTCGTATATGTCACGTTGGCTTAATTTGCCGGAAAAATCAGCAACGTAAATGAGTGTGGTGGCGCCTTTGTACTTGGGTATCGGATTAAATCATTCGTGAATGTATGTTGATTTGAATTAGTCTGGTAGGCGGAATTCCAGGATAAACGATAGCATTGATGCTTCGATTGTGGATGAATCGTGACAGTTTGTGAATCAATGTGAATAGTGGCTTTGGAGCATTACTGCCAGCTATTAATTCGAAACCTTTCTGCTGCCATGAACCCTGGAATAATTTGATCGAATCAGCAATTAGGCAATTTCATACGACTACGACTCGTTCGTTTGACATCGAACGTTGTCGGGATCGAAATTTCGGATTGTCACGTAAAATTGTACCTAAAGGATAAGTAATTTCATTACTGCCATTGTGGATTAATACTCTTTCTACTGGATTAGTTTCTTTTACGAATACCTCCGTGAGTGGCGCTAGTGAACTTATTTGTAATTCGACCATCATGTTATTAGACGCGCTCTCCCCTTGACGAATTTTTCAAGTGAGAAAAGTGTAACGAAAATTATATTTTCAAACGTTAAACAAGAAGATCGACGGAAGCATAAAATTCGTCGTTATCACGGTCACGTATCCAGAGAATATGGTGTGAATGACAAAGGATCGAAAAGTGTTCGTGCGCAAATTACTACCCGATAGTAGTGCTCTAGTGGTGGCAGCAGTGTGCTTAACGGGCCGCTAAATCCTCTAATGGAAATTGGGCAAACGAAGTCCGGTCTAAAAGTGCTGCCAATCCTCGATATTTAAATTGATTTGCGGTAAATCGGTAACCTGTTCAATTCGTTAATATGAAGCGGATTTCGTGTCGATTAAAGGAACGTCGCAAGGAAAATATATTTCTTGACAACAGTGCAACTTCATCGTAAATACAAAAATCTCAATATATACCCCGTGGCAAGAATGTCTGAATTTACCTGAAGTTATCGTTACTCTATCAGGCACGAAGTGCGCGCTGAAAAGTTCTTTTGACAAATAATGCATCGCGTGGTTGTGTCGCGGTGAGGATTCCTGCCGAATATTCATCCTCGTCATCATGTTGACTGTCACTGTGATTATTCTTCTGGGCCTGGAGGGCGCGTGGGCCGACAACTTGGGTAAAGTTCGAACCATTATTATTCTCTACAGTAAACAGTACGCAATTACGTAATTACCAAGTAAATCGCTTCGCTACTAACGTTATGCCAATAACGCTGAAAAGTTTTTGTCATATCAATCTTTGTCAAGAAGTATTTTTCACCCTTACTTTATTAGAGTCCCCGGATTCCCTGGATAAAGGCAAAGGGATTATTTCGATCGTAACCGTCGAACTTGTTAAACCGTGACGACCTCGACTGCTTAATCCTTTGGACTTTCCAAGGGCAGGTCACGCGCCATATGCTAAGTGAATTAATTAATTGAAATAGATAACGTTGTTAGCAGCGAGCTCTTTGAAGATCAACAGCATCCCTGTGGAGTAGCAAATAATTCTAATTGGTTTAATACGCTGTTTCTCGACATCATGACATTTCGACGTCTTCCTTCAATTCCTGGGCCAATTCCATCCTGTAACAATTCTACCAGTGACCTCTGTACCATCAACTAGATCAGTTTGTTCTCTAATCTAATTACTTCGCTACCTGAAATTCCCACTGTTCTGCAATCCGATAAAGACCTAAATAGATGACGTAAATTTACACCTGAAATCACGATAAAAGTTTCCAATCATTTTTGTTCCCCTCAGTTCCTTCTTCCACATAGATATATTGCGACACGTGTAAATACATTAACTTTTAATATTTTCATAGGAAGAATATTAATAATTCCCCAAAGTGCCTAATTTAATCGCTTGGTCTAGTTCCTTGATTTTATTAAGTTAGTTGCCTATGAAATTTCACACTTCAGCCACTCCACCTCCTTAAGGTTAGACTTTTAATTAGGACCCTATAGCTTTCTTTCCCTCCTTTCGTATTTCCGTCTCGTTAAATCCCCGAGAATCACGCTCGCGTTGTTTCGGCGGTTTTACGTAAAAAGAAAAAAAATTTTTCGATAATGGCAGCCGTAATGTCGACGCCGTTGTCGACGTCGAGCCTCAAGCTCGCAGCCATCCACCCACGTCGGATTTTACTCCCCGTATGTATTTACGTGTCGTCGATCGTTAATCTCTTCTCGGTATACAGAATGTTTCCACGGCGTTCGCAGAGTTCAGACTGTTAAAACTGTTTGCCGTTCCTTCGGAAGGGCTGCACGACCATATTGCCGTAGATCTTTAATGCGAAATTGTATAATACATTCATGGGAGAAAACTGTTGGACAGCCGCAACTACAGGATTGGGAGAATTTCCAGCAGGTTGTCGAATGTCAGTTTGAATTTGTACAGGTATAGTCGTTACGTTAAACTATAGAAATTCGCAGCCAATAGACTGTAGCGTGCATGACTGTTATTCGTATGGGCGATGTATTCAACATGCGCTACCGAGACGTTGATCTGCTGCGACCTGGACGCTCGAATCGCGAAGTCAGCGTTATTACGTGTCTCGCTGAACTTTGAACCACTTCGACTCGACCTCCGCGCACCTTGGACAGCAGACTCCGCGTTACGTGAAATTGAATATATTATTCGATATTCTTTTTTTTTTAATACCTTTTAATACCGATTTATCCATTTATTCATTTGCCAATAGGCAAATGCAGATTTATTCGTAGCTTAAGAAGGCTTACATTGAAATGCCCCTCGTTATGATTAATGGTGCACTGCGCGGCTTATGGGATCAAAGTCAGATCGTGCTGGACCAATCAGGAGCGAAATACAACGTTTCTTAAGGAATTATCGTTCTTGCTGTCTTTTTTTTCTCTCTCTCTCTCTCTCTCTCTCTATATATATATATATATATATAGTATTTCGAATTCGATATCACAATTTTGCGACATACCAAATTTCCCTCGAGTATCGCCAAATTTGGAATGTCATTAAAAATTTATAATTCAGCCACGAATTTTTGTCCCGTCCGCGATTAAGTATGTAGAACACAGTGCGCGGATGAGCTAAACACGTAGCAGTAGGTAGGTTCGCAACGTTCGTCCGGATTCTGCCTGACATATTTCCTGATGGACGTGAAAAAAAAAAAAGTATTGTTACATATACATAATTAATCAACCCAACCTAACGCGTTTTGTTAATAATCACGATATAGGAGAGTATACGAGTGAAATTGTACTGAAAAAAATTATCGAAGAAAAATCATTGTCCACAAAGAATAGAATTTCGAAAAATTTATTCGAACGTGTCCCGCAACGATAAATCGTATTACGCGATCAGTATATTTATAGGAATCCCATAGCGCACGTATCCTCTATCTCTAATTCGTAATCGGTTCATCGATTGATTAATTACCTTTGGCAATTATTACGTCACAAATTGTACCGCCCTTTGCCACACAACGAATACTCAATGCAATCGATATTTCTGATACTGATCGATCGAGCGTTGTTAATTGGTTAATATATGGTCGAACGATTGGCAAAATTACCTGGGTTATCGAGCATCCTCAAATCTCTTGGAATAATATGAAATTTACACTGATGACGTTTCATCTCGTTACTCACCTCGTTAATAATATTTCCTCCCTTTAATTGATCTGCCTCGCTAAATCGGTCAACGGGCGAATCGCCCACGTGTTGTCATAGGACTGCGTATTCCCACTCGTTCGCGCATAAACACGGTCGGCTGCGATCCGAAGTCGATTCCTCGTGGAACTTTGGTTCCTTCGACTGTAGCAACAATGTTATTCCTGCGGAAGGAAATTTTCGAGCGTAGCCTATACGGAGGATCACACGCGGGAGATGACGTGAGGAAAATTGATAAGACTTCCCTGCTTTTGTCATTGAAAGACTTCGATCGGTTATCTCCGGCCCGATTCAGTTAATTGATCTTAATAATCCTCTTTTCTCTGCATTTATTTTTTTTCCCCCCTTCGAGTATTATGACGTCATGAAATAACGAGGCGGATTATTTTTTTTCAGCATTTTTTAATGAGGTAACTTTTATTTTTAATTCCTACGTCAATTATCGGTCCATGTCAATTAGTAGGGAAGCAACGAATTTTATTAGTGAAAGGATTTCTTTTTTACTCATAGAGCCGGATTGTAATTTACATAAAGGATCCCCGGCTCGTTCCGAACCGGGGACCCGGAGACGATCGATCTGACAGACGAACGATCTCATTGTTCACGGGAATAGATCCTCGATCCGCTACGGATGCCAGGTTATACACTGATATTTAATATATCCCGGGTGACCCGTTACCGTGTACACGCGGCCTATGTATACAGCCGGTGTATAGATATCTTTATGAGCAAAGGTCCTTCACGGTCCTAATCCTCAAGGACTTTGTTGCGAATCGCCAGTCATTCCGGCAAAATGGCACCCATAGGCCCCCATGGCCCCTTCTCGTATATCCAAACTTCAAATCGAAGGTCTCCATTCTGGCTACACTCTCCGTATATCTATATAGCGTTATATCGCACTGCCGTGTATATACATATATACACGCATCTAATCTCCAGTCCAACCTTCTATATTCTAGATCCTCTATTCTCTATTATCGCTTCTCTACTCGCCACCCGACCTAACCTATCCCGATCATCTAACGTTCTGCGGTTGATCGATTATGCGTTCACAAAACGATCGCTCCGACCACATCGAAATTTGGCTAGATCGGATCATGATCTATGGTACTGAGTTACGGAGGTCCTGGCACGTGTGTCCAGCCGTTTTCTGTGCTCCGTACGGATCTTCGTGAAACCTAAGGACCGACTGGCTGAATAAAGAGTGACGTCATAGCAATTGATTAGAATCATCGTAAGCGGGCTAAGGATTGACGTGCGCTCGAATGGACCGAAGGTTTGAGGATTTGAGAATGGCGGAAGTTGGTTGGTACGAGTATCCGGAAGGAAGGGGGGGGGGATTACGGATGGAGATTTTTGGAGTCTGTTATAAAAGTTTCATAAGGAAGTCGTAGCACGTGGAGGTGGTCGGGAGAACAAGTTGTCTGTGTGAAAAGACCTGCGGTCTCCCCGCCGATGGAGTTACCGGCAGCGCGGTGCAGTTCTGAATTACGCATACGCGGTTCCGGATGCTGCAGTCTCTTCGGCTCAAGGAGCTCAGGCTTCTTTGTGACGAGTGGCGGGGAGCGGGATTAAAGTTTTACTCTTTCCCCCTCCCCCCCCCTCCCTCCCCTTTTATCTTTTACTTGATTTTTCTTCGTTATCGATCGTCGCGCTCTGCTGGTCGCTGTGGAACAGGAAGTTGCTAGCTGGAATTTCAACGGGACGAATCGCTTCGTGGAAACCGTCCTGAGATCGAAGGACGTTCCGGCGGATATTTGCTTTTACGTTAAATCAGCGGCGGCAATTCGCAGGGGCGGATTCTTCGCGGATTTGGGACGTCGGTTCGCGACTTATTTTTGGCATAGTGCGAAAGCTGCAAATTTTATCGCGAATATCGCTGGTTCAATGTCTTCAGCTGTTGCTGAGAACCGAATGGTCCATTGTCTCCGAGAATTTTTTTTTTTTTTACGAGAGTCCCTTGTCTCCCAGCATCCGATTTTTTGAACTTTGACCGGAAAAACGATTTTTTTTTTTAAACAGTCCCGGTTCTCTCTGGCTTATCAATCTTGCGTAAATTCACAGGCAGCGGCTGGGTCACGTGTTTCCGATGGTTTGACGAAATTCGCGCTCTTAAATTTTGGAGCGGCCGAAGGGCGATGGTCTGGCGCCTATACCGGGTGACTCCGTTATAATAGTTAGCTTTGCGCTTAATTTGCCATTTTGGGTCCAGATTATTTACGAGGTGATAGATTCGCCTTTTGGACTTTCGCCAGATTCCGGGAATCACGATGGGAAAGCAACGTGGGGGATCTATAAATTGAGGATATCGCGATTGAAGGAAATTCGCAGAGTGTTGATT